GTTGCGTTTATTTACATCAAACAAGTCAGTGGCAATCTTATTGTTAGAATCTTTTACATCTGTAAGAATCTGAAATTCTTTATTTTTAAATAATTTAATCCCTTTCTGCTCTATTACTCTTAACTCATTTCGTTTACACAGACATTAAACATACACATATATAGAATTTATGTATTTCCTTTAGGCTATGGTCGCGGTCGTAATGAATCCGATAAACAGTTTAATACCCCTGGCAATGGAAATGTATAAAAAGGCTGGTGTTTACGAGCACAATCGCCTTTTTGGTGTAATTAGCCTTGACTGTCTTAGAGCAAATACTTTCGCTGCTCAAATTATAGGTGTCGAGCCAGAATGCATGATAGTGCCAATAATTGGTGGGAGTTGTTCGAAAACGTGTATTCCTCTTTTCTCCCAAGCAAAGCCCTGTAACAAACTGACCCCGGTTAATAGCTTATCATAAAACTCCCCGATAAAGATTTTTTCCTGACACTTGAGATAATTGACTCGGCGAATTTATTAATTGATTAGACAGAAGCTCGGAGATTAACACAAGTCGTAAGGATGTCTAATGAAGAAATGGCAAATGCAAGTAAAAATAAAGAGAGAACGTTTTTCGCTACAGCTTTTGCAGCTGCTCGATTTGGTATATCCCTCTGTAAAGGTATTCCACACACCGAATGCGCAACGTTCCCATATTGATAGTACATCCAGATTCTCATTTTATTATTGGTTCATACAGCTTTGCGACATCAGAGCAATGTTGTGGAATGCGCTTATGTTAGATCCTGCGTGATACCAGAGATAACATATTTCGCAGCTCCTTTGGAATTAGGTCCGAATGGAATTCAGAGATACTTAGGTATTCCACCCTTAAACGACTTCGAATGTGATCTTCTTAAAGCGGCTATACCTTCTTTGAAAAAGGATATTACACTTGGAGAGGTAATGAGATAGCTCTGCGGTTTGATCAATAAAATTTCTACGGTTTGTGCTAGGGCACGAGTTCTAATGGAATCTAATAAAATCTAGTGATAACATCAGCGTGTAAAAAATAATATTATTATCATTAATATTAAAAGTCATAATTATTCGGGATGTGCGCATTTGAATGCGACCAATACAAATACTTTTACTTTGGAATTATTAGAAATTAGAACTTGCGTTATTGGCATCAATCGGGAAACTTTATTTATTGGAGCATACGCATTTCTAAAAATTCGTGGAAACGAGATGATATTCCTAATCCTTCATAGGCTCTTGCTCTTGGAGAGGAGACTGTTTCTTCTGAGATATGCCCGCAGCATACTAACGAATGTGATCGTGAAAATCCACCCCGTACCTCTTCATCGTAATGTTTTTCGAATAGCCTTTCTAATTTCATTTGATGTCAGATTTTTATGAGAAAAAAAAAATGCTGTCTTAATAATATCGTTATCATATCGTTTCACATGGCGAGACCCATTGCTGCCTTTGGTCGGCAAGACTGAAAAAAATTGAAACAATGGCTCGTAAAGCAAGGGAGACCGTGAAGCATCGTGTCGAAGCGAAACGCGGTACTCGAGATCAAGCCGCGATAAACCTGTAAAATAGTTAATGGCGATCGTAATAGTGGCAGCGATCCGTTCTGTATACCCATTGCTTTGCGGGTAAGTTAAACGTCTGCATGGGTATCGGTCACATTTATTTTCGCGTAAATCGATGAATGTCGCGCATAAACGTTCGAGCCAAGTTTCCGAACGAACCGCGATGCTAACTTCAAAACCAACGCGATAAAGATACTCCTAAACACTTGGAAGTATGACTACAAATCGTTTCGTGTTTCTAGATACTGGATACTGGAAGAGAAAATAGTAGTACACTATCTTTGCCTTTAGACGATATTTTTTAAGTGGTGTGACAAATTGGTCTAATCGACTTAATTAAATTATCATTCACTTTTCCTTTCGTCTTCTCTAAAAATGTTGGAACGAACTTTCCAACTGAGATTCTGTTAACTCGTTCAATTATTTATTAAATGTCCTGCCATTATAATGTTATGTTTTTTAATTATTAAAAGTCCACCAGTTTTTACTCTGTCACTTTAGTTCGCTCGTTTATTGTACCAACTGCGCAACAGCTTGGCTGTGGTTGTTTGACCGAGGAAGTTTCTGAATCTGATAAGAACAAATACAATCCAGTCTCAAAGATTCTAGAAACGGACGTGGTTTTCGAAGAGCCACCGCATCACCGCGTCTCAGGTTACCAGGTAGATACGTGCAACAAAAGTAGAAGAAACTCGTCCTTTCCGCATTCCCGACACGCCATGATGTTCCCAAGTGTGCACGGCAACTGCAGACAAGATACGGACGACTGCAGCTGGCAACTCTTTGGCAGAAGGGATTATTGCGAAGTTCCGAGGAGGGAAAAGGTGCGGGTGTTGCCTATCGCAAATCCTCTCTAAGCGAGTCTTAAACTCTCTACATTCCGACGCGATTCAACCTTAGCCATGCCATATCGAACGGTATAATAATGCAGGCTGCATAGCGTCACCTTCTTCTTGTATAACCATCTCATCTCATGAACCCATGCATGTGTTAGTTTCGCTTAACACAGTCATCTCCACCGAATTGCGCTTGCACGCAAATTCGTTCATCTTGCATCCTAGATTTCCACATACCCGTTCTCGAAACCCATTAGGTTTTTCACGACGCGATTTCATCACGTCCGCACATTGATTCAAGGCATAATCTGATGCTTTTAATGAGACATGTATCGCGGCTAATGCACGACTTAAATAGTTTCAAGAAACGATACATCTTTTTGCAGGAGTCAACCTTGATATTATACATACATGCACACACGTAATAAGGATAGTTGCAATGGCAATAATAAATTTTGGTACTCAGTATATGTATATAAAATAGAGAGTGGAGAACATTATTTAATTATTCCGAAAATTCGATTTTTGTGTTAACTATTTGACAATATTAATTGTATCGGTGAATGTTGAATTTTTTTCAATTGATGGAATGATTCTTTGCAGAATTTTGTAAAAGCGATCTTCACTATCTTCGATAAAAGATTACTAAGAGTCTGGTCCCATTTAGATAGTTCTTACTGCTGAGACTTGTATGTACGTCGGTAGCATCAGCAATTCGCACAGCAGGAAATTAATCGCATAGTTTCTCACAACGGAGAAGTGGCAATACCTACCTGGCCGTCATTCTTACCTCTACAATCTTTACCCATCCAAACGTAGTGTCTATCGCTAATTGGTTTAATTACGTCGATATTAACGGCTATCGAAAGGCTAAAAATATAAACGTTCGCTCGGTTAATGACAGTGATCTGACGTTAAATGACTAGGTAAACGAGCTGAAAACGGACTTTAAACGTAATCAGTCATCGACCAACCCTGAATCGTCGAGCTTATTCATAAATTCCGCTCTCATATCGTTAGTCTGTAATGTATTTTCATCGTGTATTCCATCGATTGGAATCGAACATTTTTGCGATCCGCGATTTGCGATGGAAACATTTTTCTAAATGCAGCAATTTCATAGATTTATACAAATGTAAATCAATGCCCCTACTTTGTCCACATCATCTCGCAGATTAGAGAGAAATGCACACACAGCTAAGCTAT